TTATAGATAAGCGAGACGGGTGAAGGGAGAAAAAAACCTACAAAGACAATAAACACCAAATAAGAGAAGAAGAGAAAATGGAAGAGACAGTAAAAGATGAATAAAAAAAAACCACAAGTAAAATAACAAAAGAAGGAATTAAAAAACGGGGAAAGATTAAAGGATTTTTTTTACAGAATATTAACCAAAACGTATGTAAAAAAAACCCCACCTTATTTACATATTAATTTACAAGAAAGGTTTTATTTACGCACCTTGGTTCACAATGACTCGTAATACTAAATGGCAATGAATAGAAGGAAATCCATAATAATTGTATATTCTAGTAATAAAAAGATAATTAAAGATAGTATGAATGGATCCTAGGAATTTAAAGATAGTGTAGTACCGGCCACGCTGCCAGCTTGTGTACCGAAGGCTTAATATCCACACTGTCTCTAACGGTCTGTAAACTATTTCTGTTTACTACTTACCACTGCTATTTACTGCTTGCTTCTGCTATTTATTACGTACTAATGCTATTTGCTACTTACCACTGCTATTTACTACTTACTATTGATATTTACTATTTACTACTGCTATTTTCTACTTAATAATGTTATTTACTACTTACTATTGCTATTTATTAATTATTAATGCTATTTACTATTTACTAAAACTACTGCATTTGCCTGTTAATACTGTTATTTACTACTTACTGATAATATCTGCTACTTGCTATTACTACTACTACTTTGCTGTCACTTGGAATCGAGTATGACGATCATCCAGCTATGATACAATGATATGAGTTATTAAAGATGTCACCTTCGTTGACGAGCTCTGAGGTGACTGGAGGCCGATACGGGAACGGCAGGGTGTGGAGGGCTACATCTAGTGCGGGAGGGGCGGCGATAGCGTCTTCTGGCACTTTCTCCTCACACACACAAAAAACATGATCATGTCTACTTTAAACCCCCGATATGAACCAGTTAAATGGATAAAGCCGCAACATTAGAGGCGGATGGTTAATGTTTCACTATAGGCGGGTCGGGTCCTGGAGTGCGCTGGTGGGGTAGGAGGACACTATACACGGGCGTAAAGGTAGCGCTTCAAGGGGTGTTGGGGAGGCAGGAGGCGGTATGTCTGTTAGCTATTTTGCAAACAGAAGGTGACGTGTCCGGTATGGCTTTTGCACGGCTGTTGAACCTGTCCAATCCCAATATTGTCATGATTGAGGAGCCCGGTTGCTGCTGACTGGTGTGTGTGTGTGTGTGTGTGTGTGTGTGTGTGTGCGTGTAACAGTTCATGTGTGTGTGTGTGTGGCAGGGTGTTCCATGTGTGTGTGTGTGTGTGTGTGTGTGTGTGTGTGTGTGTGTATGCAGGTGTTCGTGTTCAGTGTGTGTAAGTGTAAGGCAAGGTTCGTGTTCATGTGTGTGTGTGTGTGTAAGGCAGGTGTTCATGTGTGTGTGTGTGTGTGTGTGTGTGGTAGAGAGAGAGAGAGAGAGAACTTTAAACATTAACAAAGCCACGATATTGTAACAATTACGTGTAGCAGATACCAATATAGGAACTAAAAAATACAAATAAAACAAAACTCCCAATAAATAGTCAAACACAAAAAGTAGAATAATAAACAAAGGATGAAAAGAAGTGAACGAAAGGAAAGCGATAGACAGGACGATATAACAAACATGAGGATGATAAATAATGAGAGTAAACGGGGGGAGTGAGAGACGAGAAATTGTAAGGTAGGAGGAAGCGAGAGAAGATCAGAGGTGAGATGCAAAGATGGAAGATGGTGGGAGGGCAGATGGACGGTGATAGATAAGCCGACGATGTGAAGGTGTAAGGGCTGAGAGAGAGAGAGAGAGAGAGAGAGAGAGAGAGAGAGAATTTGGTAGAAGTATACTAATAATAATAATGATGATAATGACGTTGAAATAATGATCGTTAGCCTACGAAATCATTACGCATGTTTTGGATAGATGAAAAAATTGGCCTCACGTTCTGGGTAGTGACCCCTCTTCCCTCCAACCTCCATCCCTTTAACCTCCAACCTCCACCTCGACCTCCACCCCTTCCCTTCAAACCCCCCCATCCTCCAACCCTCACCCCCCTAAAAAAAAATCTGGGTAGCTGGAAACGTGGCCTTCCATTCTGGCTATCTGGGAAAGTGTCTCCTGTTTTGGGTATCGAAGCAGTGTCCGCACGTTCTGGGTGACCTCATTCTCCGGGTAGCTGGAAAAATAACCTACTGTTCCATGTACCAGGAATTTTTTTGACCTTATCTTACATGTTTGCTGGTAGGGAAAAAATGACCTCATGCCCTGGTTGGCTGGAAAGATGACCTTCTGTACATAGAATTGACCTTATCGTACAGAGAGGTGGTAAAAGTGACCTCATACCCAAGGTAGCTAGAGAGGCCCTCACGTTGCGGTATGTCAGAGGGTCACGACAGTTGCCTTCCTCACCTCACGCTTCACACGGCAGGACTGTACCAGGGCCTCGTAGAGATAAGAGGAGAATGTGATGTGTGTAGGCATCAGTGCCTTAAGAGAGATTACATTCCTCCTACACTGGTCACGAAGGGCGTTATGATCCCCCGGGTGATAGGACGCTGAAGGGGTCGAGTCTGGCGCTGCCTTCACCCAGGGTTGTTTGTCTTGGGGTGAAGAGGGTATTGTAATCACTTCTTGGGGTGTGTGTGTATGTATACGTATAGGTATGTGTATCTGTGTATGTGCTTAAGAGAGAGAGAGAGAGAGAGAGAGAGAGAGAGAGAGAGAGAGAGAGAGAGAGAGAGAGAGAGAGAGAGAGAGCCTCTTCCTCGCATCATTTTATATAAAAACTGTACCTGCCTAAACTCCCGCATTTTAAAGACAATAATTCAATTTACTCAACGATTTAAAAGTTTGTGAGAACTACATTTGATTTTGGGTTGTTGTCTAGCCTCCGTGTACAGGAACTAACACTGTATACAGTCTGATTGTTATTATTCGATGATTCCCAACGCTGTTACGACCCTTTGGCAAATTACCAGCACCAGCGGGGACATACTCACTCCACTCTCACTCCTCACAATCCCAGCCAACAGTCTCAGGCTCCCATAGTTGACGTTCCTAACCGGGGAAGTTGTAATTCAATCTCAACTCTATTGCAGTTTTCCGTCCAGTAAATAAATCAACTTTGTAGCTTCGTTCTGAGTTGATTTGACTCTTGTTAACTGGGTTGTTGTTCGGTGTCGTGGACGGCGTGAGGGAGAGAAATGTACTCGTTGGAGAACCAATCATTTTTATTGTTATTTTTTCCTCCGTCTTCGTGATTGGTGAGAAGATTTTGTTACTCACCACAACAACGAGCTTTAGACGTGTGTGTGTGTGGGGAGGGGGGGGTCATATTTGTCATCATTTTTCTTATTTTCCATGACCGCTTGTGTGTGTGTGTGTGTGTGTGTGTGTGTGTGTGTGTGTGCGTGCGTCGTACAGGTAGGTGACTATGGTTATGCTAAGCACTGGTACACCCTAATGACCTCCAAGTGAATTACAGGTGTGTAGATGACCCCAAGTAGTAATGAGAAGAGACAAAGAATTATACAACTGTTCTTCCCTTCACTTGTTTTATCCTTTTGGTGAATCTTAATTAAGTCCTGGAGGGGGGGGGGGGTAGGGGGGGTCGGGTTCACCTTGCTATCATATATTTAATTACCGGTATCATCCCTGCAGGTGTAAAAATCATTAATTTGTGGCTCAGAATCAGTGAACCGATTGATGTGAAACTTGACATATGGAGTTGTGGTTTTAAAGCCTTTATGAGTGAATAGGTAGAAATGAATAAGTGAAAGAATGTGAATAATAAATAAATAAATGAATATAAATAATGAATGAATAATTAAAAAGGATGAACCGATGCATCATAATGACTTAGAGTATGATGACTTATTCTCTTGAGTATGATGATTTGACCCGTTGTGTACGATAACTTATTTATTTGTGTGGGATAACCTGTCCTTGATTACGACGACTTGTCCTCTTGTGTACGATAACTCAATTACAATGCCACGGTCAGGTGAGGGTCGGGCGGGTCACCTGGGAATTTTGTGCTCGTTGTCTCATTATGAATTTAGATCGAGTTAATTGGTTTATTTTAATGATATTATTACTTAAACCTCAATAAATAGGCAGTAATTTTTTTTAATATTAATAATAATAATAATAATAATAATAATAATAAAAATAATAATAATAGTTTTTGATAGTAGAAGTAGTAGATTTAAATACTATCAATCACAGTCGTAGAATGTGTAGTAGTAATAGTATAAAAAAAACCCCACCGAAATAAACCATTGAAGACCCCACGGCCTGGGAGACAACGCCAGAAGGTTGGGTTGTGTGGTTAGCGTTCACTCCCGGTCCTCTGTTGTGTGTTAATATATAATGGTGTTGTTGGCCTCTGGTGTGCTGGCTCCTGCTCCTGCTGTTGTTTTTGTTCTCTATGGCCTTGACCTCTTTCTGTGATGGTGTCATGATGGTGCCATGGTGGTGCCTTGATGGTGCCATAGTGGTATATGTATGGTGCTAGTAATTGACCGTCACCACATCCAGTAACTCTTAACATCACCACCACCACACACACACACACACACACACACACACAGACACACAGACACACAGACACACACACACATACACACACACACACACACACACACACAGCCTTCTGGCCAAGAACTTTTCAATAAACCGTTAATTATTATTATTATTATTACACAGACACACACACACATACACAATAGGTCTGACACGTAGAGTTTAAGTTGTCACTACAAAAATTATTCTCCCAGAAAGTAATTTACCATAACAAGATAGCGTTACATATGGATTGTCACGCTCGAGTGTTACGTGACAGCGTATGGTCACCACTGTGTTACATAACCTCAGTATTGTAGAAGAAAATAAGAATTAATAAAAAACCTTAAATAAAAGAACAACATTTATTGAGCGTAATATATTTTAAAGTGTTTATTTCCCCCAAAATCGATAGGCGTCGTTTGGGAAGCCTGTCAGTCGTTTCCTGCCTGGTGGGCGCCATGACAGGTGGGCGCCATGACAGGTGGGCGCCGTGATAGGTAGGCGCCATGACAGGTGGGCGCCATGACAGGTGGGCGCCATGACAGGTGGGCGCCGTGATAGGTAGGCGCCATGACAGGTGGGCGCCATGACAGGTGGGCGCCATGACAGGTGGGCGCCGTGACAGGTGGGCGCCGTGATAGGTAGGCGCCATGACAGGTGGGCGCCATGACAGGTGGGCGCCATGACAGGTGGGCGCCATGACAGGTGGGCGCCGTGATAGGTAGGCGCCATGACAGGTGGGCGCCATGACAGGTGGGCGCCATGACAGGTAGGCGCCATGACAGGTGGGCAGGTAGGCGCCATGACAGGTGGGTGCCAGGACAGGTGGGCGCTATGACAGGTGGGCGCAGTCAGCGCCGCGGTGGCTGCAGGTGGGCGCCATGACGGTGGCGCCGTGAAGGTGGGCGCCAGTGGGCGCATGACAGTGGGCGCCGTGATAGGTGGCGCATGACAGGTGGGCGCCATGACAGGTGGGCGCCATGACAGGTGGGCGCCATGACAGGTGGGGTCTTCCTCTTCCATCCCTCCTTTATTCTTCTCTTTCATCACTTCTTTCCTTCCATTACTCCTCCTCTCCCCGTTATCCTCCATTTTTTCGTTCTTCCTTCGTTCCTTCCTTCCTTCTCTTTTCTCCATCATTCCTTCTTTAAGTTCACTTCTTCCACTCTTCTCATTATTCCTAAACTTTCCTCTAAAGTTCTCAATCAGGTCACACGTATCGTATTCTCAGAAACCTTCCCTCATAGCTGAAGATACGAGATATTGTGGTTTCGGGTTAAAATTACGTCACTGGAAAAAAAAATCAGAATAGGTCGACGACTCACTATGGCGTCGATATTACACTGAGACTGGAGTGGTACACAGGTGTTAGAGATTCACAGAGGTTTGGTTGATGTGTGTGATAGTAAGTGGACTGGGGGGCTATTTAGGACTAGGGACTATTGGGATTGGGGATATTCATTGGGACTGGACCTCACTTTGGGTTGTGAGGACTTTGAGGCCTATCAAAATTGAGCCTCATTGGACACACACACACACACACACACACACATAACACACGGCCGTCCACAGTATTATTTTTTCCTCTTTATTTTGTGGAGTTGTGAAACTTGATCGTTGACTGCCATCCTCTTGTGTGTGTGTGTGTGTGTGTGGTGTGTGTGTGTGTGAGTCCTTTATATTCCAACTTTGAAATACTTAAGCTTACTGATTATATATATATTTGAGTTCAAAAGAAAGACCACCAGCTTATTATTCATAAATTGGGTTTTAGGTAACTTTCCTCACCTGCCATGACCTGTCTCACCTGCCATGACCTTCCTCACCTGTTTCAGATCTAGTTGTTTGCCACTCTGCTCCTCCCCCTTCCCCTCCCCATCCTCACACATCTTCCTCCTCATTATACCTCTCTCCTCCTCTTCACACCTCTTCCCCCTCACACCTCCCCCCCCCTCACACCTCATCCCCGTTACACCTCCCCCTTCCCCCTCACACCTCCTCCTCTCCCCACGCCAGATTCCCCACTGTTTTCATTTTCAAACTTTAGCTGTGATCAGAAGTCACCGGGTATACAGCGGTTGCCTCATCAATCGGCCAATCAAAAGAGCCGTAGGTTTATGTTATATTGTATGGGGCTTTTGATTGGCTGGTTAGTACAAATCGTTTGGTGTTTATAAACCTCTTAATTTGTCAGTTTGAAGACCTGAAGATTAGCCCCAACTTATTTCACCTGAAGATTAGCCCCAGCTTATTTCACATGCAGATTAACCGCCAGCTTATATCACCTGAAGATTGGGCCAAAACTTATATTACCTGAAGATTGGCCCCAGCTTATTTCACCTGAAGATTAGCCCCAAGAAATCTTCGGGTGAAAGAAGCTACGTAGCCTTACCTTCAGGTGATCCGAAGCTAAAGTTGGTGATAGTGGTGGACATAGTTACTGATAAGGCTTCCGTCTTGGTCCAGCGAGAAGAGTACAGGACTGTGTTTTTCTGTCAGTAGTACCCGAACTGTCTTCACCCATGTGACCGTCTGTACTACTTAAGCATTACAACATTGGCACATTGCTACGTCAAGCATTGCAACATTGGTACAAGTGTTACGTCAAGCATTACAACATTGGGACAGGTGTTACGTCAAGCATTACAACATTGGTACAGGTGTTACGTCAAGCACTACAGCAATAGTGTATTGTTATCTCAGAGGAGGAGGAAGTTACCTATATACAGTATAGGCCTACACATTATAAAAGGCCTCAGTCATATCTGAACCAATTTTTTTTTCATTTAATGTCTCAACCGAAGTTTCTTTAATCGTATACCTGTTCTTTCCTTCAAGCTGTTAGATGTAAGTTACGACAAAAGGAAAAAAAAGGAAAAACAATTATGAAAAAGTTTACCTGTACACGAGATTAACAAGAGACTCCAGGTGAGACTGTAAACCGAGCGTGAAGAGGAGTTAAACCATCCACCCAGCCATAAACCATCCACCCAGCCATAAACCATCCACCCAGCCATACACTATCCCCTATGCCTATGGGATCACCTGTGACTACGGTGCCGTGACCCAGAACATGAACTGTACAAGTTTTTTGCTCCAGTATTTGGATTTAGAAAGAAAAAACAAGAAAAAAAACAAGTGAAAGTATCAAAGGATCACCAGAAGATTAGACATTCAAGTTTATCTCACCTGATGATAAGACATAATGGTGATAATAATAAAAGGGTAGAATCTTTCTCTTCTCACCCCCCCCCCCAGATGAAGGGATATTCCACCACTGGGACCCTTCCTCCCCTTCCCCTAAAAAAAAAATACGAGTTATGTAACCTCCCGATCCTCCCTTCTTTCCTCTTTTCCCCCCTCTCTCTCCTTACCCTTTCCCACCCCATCCCTACACCCCCCCACCCCCCTCCCCACCCTCCTCTCCCCACCCTCCCCCCCCCCTCCCCCCCCTCTCCCCCTCCCACCTCTCCCCTCCTCCCCATGTCATACTAAGTTTGGCACATCGACAAAACCAAAATTATAACTTAAAAAATATCGGGGACTTTATAATTTATTTTTCCCACCTCCATCTTCTTGTCCTTCCGCCGCCATTATTCCCAGGTTATATAATAGACACCTACTTCCAGGTTTATGCAATGGGTTGTCTTTATATTTGTTAATATTTTTTCCGGGTTGGGTAGTAGGCACTGAGAGATTGATGGTACGGGGAGAAAATTTTTACTGTGGTGAATATTTTTGGTTGAACGATTTATCAAGATTAATGACGAGGATGATCACCTGATGGCTAGTTTGTCAAGTGATGGGTGGGTGCGATGGGTGATGTGGTGATGGGTGGGTGATGTGGTGAGGGGTGGGTGCGGTGGGTGATGTGGGTGATGGGTGGTTGATGTAGGTGAGGGGTGGGTGATGTGAGTGGTTTGGGTGGGTGATTTTTTTGTTTACGGGCATTAGCCCACCCGGGCACAGGTCACTGACCCACATCAGGGCCTGGGGGGCGAAAATATAATAAAATAATAATAATAATTATGATGATGATGATAATAATAGTAATAAAATTAATACAAATATATAAAAATAAACAACAATTATAATAAAATATAATAATAATAATAATAATAATAATAATAATAATAATAATAATAATAATAACAATATAAAAATAATAATAATAATAATAATAATAATAATAATAATAATAATAATAATAATAATAATATAAAAATATAAATAATAATAATAATAATAATAATAATAATAATAATGATGGTAATAAAGAGCCATAAATAAATACAAAAAAAAATATCTAGTGAGAAACGATATATGTTTGTTGTGTTGTCAGTAGTAAGAGAAACAATTGAGACCCTACAATTGTGTGTAAATGAGGCAGAAAGTCAGATCAACAACCAGGGACTTGGTCACAATTTTCGTGATGCCATATGGCAGTAGGGTCTACCATTAGACAACACATTATGCTTCCAATATGTGGGTGATGGGTGGGTGAGAGGTAGGTAATGCGTGGGGAATGGGTTGAGTAGTCGATATCTCTCTCTCTCTCTCTCTCTCTCTCTCTCTCTCTCTCTCTCTCTCTCTCTCTCCCTATAATCAGTATTTAACTCGTCCTCAGCAACCAATCAACTTGGCTCTGAAGGACATTTAAGTCCTTCAAGTAATTAAGGTTTAAAGGGTCGGTTTAACAGGAGAGTGAAGTTCTAAACCCGACTTGGTTTTTTTTAGGCCCCGCGTCCTGGAGTGTTGAGTTTGGGGGGGTAGGATGGAGGTGTTTTTTGTAGGGGTGACCAACCATAATCTGGGGTTGCAGGAGTGTGTGTGTGTGTGTGTGTGTGTGTGTGTGTGTGTGTGTGTGTGTGTGTGGAGTAGCTTGGCGAGGTGGGGACGTCTGTGTTGTTGAGAGAGAAAAGATAAAATGGGAAGAAATGAAAGGGAGGGAAAAGGAGAGAGAGAGAGAGAGAGGTAGTAAAATAATCATGCAGTATCAAGAATTCCCAACTTGATTGAATAAGCTACACCATACTACCCAGGAGCTCCTACCCGCATGCCATCACCTGTTTCATTACGGCCAATAGAATATATATTACCTATGTAAATAATGTACAGTAGCTAAAACAACTTATCTGTGCAGGTGAGGGTCGATATGCTCCGAAATTTGACGTGTGACTAGTGACAGCCCTCATATACCATTATTTATCGTCCATGGTCTCATATTGTTTCCCACAAAGTATGCACAGATAGTTGTTTTAGCTACTGTACTTGTGTAATGACCACGACAGTAGTAAATAATTGATGTCCTTAAAATCAAGTCTTAAATTAGTGCATTTTTTATGTTATTATCGGGGAAAAGATATAAATATACCTGGGTAATTTTATCTCGTGTCTCAGGTAGGTATTATACATTAGTTAACCATGTATACTAATTCACGTTTTCTGTTTCTCATTTGTTGTGTCGTTGTTTTTATAATGTGTAGATGGAGGGAAAAAATAATGGGTGTGACTAATCGGTAAGTATAATAATTAGACTCGTCTCTCCCCGTGTACAGTGATGCACCGTGTCTCCTACAGTGCCATTGTATGATGATTTGGAGTATTGAAGAAATAAAACGATACTCTGTAATACTCGTAGTGAGGTATTATTATTGAGTTTCATTTGTCTCCTAATGCACTTTATTTGAATCACCTGAAAATTAGCCCCCTCCCCCCTGATTATTTTACCTTAAGATTGACCACCCTAATACTAACCTAACCTAACCTTGACCACCCTAACCTAACATTAACCACCCTAACACTAACCTAACCTAACCTCCCTGGGTAGTTTTAGGGTAGTTAATCACCAGGTAAAATTAGCTAGAGGGCTATTATTCAGGCGATTCATATATATAAATAACTATTAATAATTTAACCTTAATGAAAAAGAACCACTCGCTGGAAGAGAAAAACATACAACAATA